ATTTTAATTAAAGGATAGAAATTTATTTTTAAATAAAATATTGCACCAACTGGACCGACATACTGGCCCACCCACGTCAATAGGCATCCAGATATTTTAGATTTCTTCATATATTCCACCCCAAGTAACCTACCCTTAGCTATATTTAACATCACGGATCTCTCCTCTGATCATACCCCAGTAAAGTTAGTCATTGATGGCGAAACAAATCAAATCCCAATAAGACCTTCCCTAACCTCAGGCCCAATTAACTGGACCCACTACATACAGTACTTAAGCAAAAATACTAAATTAGGCATACCTCTTAAAACCACCCAAGACATTGAGCAAGCTTCTGTCACATTTGTAGAAATGATCCAATCCGCGGCTAAACTGTCCTCACGCGCAAGTAACGACTATTCCTCCGCCTTGAACACAATTCTGGACAACTACCCACTCCCGGGCCACATCAATGAACTCTTAAGACAAAAAAGAAAAGCTCGTGCCAAACGGCAAACTACAGGTTATCCTAACGACAAGCGGATCTTTAATAACCTAACCAACAAACTTAAAAGGCAACTCCAAAACCACAAAAATCAATCCTATAATAGCTACATCTCTAACCTAAATCCAACAAACGGCTCGCTTTGGAAAGCAACCAAAAAAATCCTTAGACATATCGAACCAACTCCGCCAATCCGTCGCCCCGATAACTCTAAAATCACCGACGACTATGAAAAGTCCAACGTTTTTGCTGAACACCTTGCTACAGTATTTAAACCAAACATCATACAAACTAATCCCCAGCACTCTGCCAGAGTATTCGAGTTCTTAGATAGTCCACTACCAGTTTCTATGCCTGCCAAACCCACTTCCCCAAATGAAGTTCTCTTCTATATAAAACATTTAAAATCTGGCAAAGCTCCTGGTTATGATCTAATAACTGCTCTATTTTTAAAAAAATTACCACCCAAAACAATAATATTTTTGTCATATATATTCAATTCTATACTCCGTCTTTCTTACATGCCATCTATTTGGAAACATGCTCAAATAATACTCATCCACAAACCAGGCAAACCTCCTGAAAACCCATCCTCCTACCGTCCCATAAGCCTTCTGTCTGTCATAGGAAAACTATTTGAAAAAATACTTCTAAAAAGAATTACAAAAATTGCCACAGTTAATAAAATTATACCTGATTTCCAATTCGGCTTCAAATCTAAACACTCCACAATCCACCAACTGCATAGAGTTGTCGATCAAATCTCATCAGCATTCGAGAGCAAACAAATCTGCATTGGTATTTTCCTAGATATCGCACAGGCTTTCGACCGAGTCTGGCACCCCGGCTTACTTTTTAAATTAAAATCCTTCTTGCCTGCTCCGTACTACCTACTAATTAAATCTTATCTAAACCAACGAACATTTGTCACAAAAATTAACGGCACCTTTTCCAACTCTCAAATAGCAACTGCTGGTGTTCCCCAAGGCAGTGACATAGCTCCTTTCCTATTTAACGTATTTACCAGCGACCTACCTCTAAACGAAAACACACTACTTGGTACGTTCGCGGATGACACTGCTATTCTTGCTACTGACAAAGATCCCATCCATGCTGCCCAAAAAATCCAAAACCACCTAAATGTTCTAAACAACTGGTTTCACGACTGGAAAATCCAAGTTAACCCATCAAAATCTTCTCAAATTACCTTCACACTTCGATCCTTAGAATGTCCCGCAACCTTTATCGGCAATGAACAAATTCCATCCTCCACGCAAACCAAATATTTGGGTTTAATTCTTGACAAACGCCTTACATGGGGTCCCCACTTAAAAAACAAGCGTAAAGCTCTCAATTCAAGACTCTACCTTCTTAGACCCTTACTCCGCTCAAAGCTCTCATTAAAAACTAAAAGAACAATATACATGGCTCTTCTAAGACCCATGTGGTACTATGGCATACAACTTTGGGGATCAGCCAAACCCTCAAATACTAGAACAATACAGGCGTTTCAGTCTATTTGTCTACGTTTAATATCTGGTGCCCCATGGTATATTACCAATGAATCACTCCATAAAGACATCTGCATTCCAACCTTAAACAGCCTTGCCAAAATCACCTATAAAAAAACACACAAAACATTCATTACTCACTCTAATCCTATAATCACCCAACTTTCATCAAATCAAATTCCAGGTAATCCACCCAGGCGCCTGAAAAGGAACTGGTGTAGGGACCTACTTTCTCCCTAAATCGCTTCCACGGGGTGCTGCCACTGGGTGACTTCCCCCTCCTGTTTACCAAAAATCATCACATTTACTTATTGTATCACTTGTAAATACAGATTGTAAATATATTATGTTTGTTCAATAAAAAAAAAAAAAAATAAAAATAAAATATTATTTTATTTAATTATTTTTTTTCTATTTGATTTGAATAAAATTTATTTTAGAATATTTATTTAATTTATTTATTTAACTAATTGAAGATTTCTTTTAAATAAACTATTATTTTATTTAACTATTAATTTAAGTCAAGTTCGAATAATTTATTATTTTATTATAATGGAAATTATTTAAAGAGAAAATTAAAAACAAAATTATTGTTTTAGTTACTATTAATTTAATTTAAGTTTCAAATAATTGTTAACTTATTTTAATTAACGTTTAGGAAAAATTTAATTAATATTATTATTTCATTTAATTTAATGATTGAAAATTTTTTAAAATAGAACTATAATTTAATTTAATTTAAATGAAAATTGATAAATTGATAAATCTGGATGAAGATATGATCAAAACATTGATCCCAAAAGTCGGTTATCTGTCAACATTTTTAAACAAATTCAACTTGTTTAAAAATAGTATTACTGTTCCAGTAAGTTAATAACTAGTAAGTACCTAATGCTTTTTACTCCATTTTTCTTTAAACATCCAAATGGTAGGTATGTACCTACACATTTTTCTGTATAAACCTACCTATATCAACCCTATCTTGTATTAAAGGTGTTAGAACTATCCAGTCAAAATGAAATAAACATTGCTGATATTAATGTGATTGAATTTGAACCGGGTATAAGACAGTGGCGAACCACGGGTCTGGACCCCCCCCCCCCCCCCCCCCTTGGCTTATGTCATAGTATTATTTTTATTTTTAAAAGTTCCCTGAAATGTTCATTGAAACTTATTAATTAGATTGATTATTACTTATGAGATTAATATGAGACAATAGGACTATACCATAATTTAATTGGCATACATTGTAAAAATAAATTAAAAAAGGTGGGCAAGTGGGTGTCGTTCTAATGTACAGTAGGTTACAAGTGGGTCACTGTAATGGATGGTATTGAATTTGAATTCAACGATATAATATCATTATATAAAAAAAACGATTCTGAGCGAAAACAGTCAGTCAGCCTACACTAAAAGAAATTCATACATGAAAATTATACATTGTTTCGAGTGTTTCGACAATGTTTTTGTCACTCCTGAGCCGACAAAACGTTTGTTATATCTACCTAGTAATAATTGTAGAAAATAAGAGTTTATTACAAGCAACAAAAACTATGTAAATATAACAATAATTTTGTTGTTTTCAGCTTTAAAGTAGTTGTTACTTTAACATAGAACATTGTTTCTTTTAAATTAAAAATTGTTCCTATTACAAGGAAAATTGTTATTTATAAATATTATTTGTTAAACTTTTTAGCAATATCTTTATTGGTATAACAAGTATAATGTTGGAATGAATAAAGATGCATGTTGATAATAAGAAAATTATTTATTAAAATAACAATGTAATTTTATCAATAACAATGTAGGTATGCTTCATTAAATATATATATAGGCAATTCTTTATTTCTTTATTATAAACTTTAATTAAATTATAATTACTAAGTAATTATTTATACAAATTATAAATACTGATTATGTTATACAAACTTAATATTATTGAAAAACATCAAAATATGAAATCATCAGAAATGTTACAAAATATGAACTTAAATATAAATAAAATCAATCAAAATAAAATATTTTACACAAAAATTTCAGCAGTTATACAAATTAATTTATAAATACTGATTATGTTATACAAACTTAATATTATTGAAAAACATCAAAATATGACATCATCAGAAATGTAATAAAATATGAACTTAAATATAAACAAAATCAATGAAAATAAATTTTTTTACATATCGAGTTCAGCCAGCACCAAACTTATTACCGGTTGTGGTTGATCTAATGTATCATGGATATTATAAAGTAGTTTTTGAATGAACAACCGTACCATATAAGACTCTGGAGGATATGACAAATTGAATACATGAAATATTTTGAACACTACATCTACGGCTCTCTGAATCGTTAATATTTTATATTTTATGTCATCAAAATATATTAAGATGTTTTTTTGATTTGACAACTGCCCAATTATAATTATGAATGGTTGAATTGGAATTCCTAAATCTATAGACAAATTAAAATTTAAAAAATAAATAAAAATATAAGTACAATATATTAAATTATCATTAACTAAATAAAATACAACAAAATAAAAAATTCAGTACCAAGTTGTTTTCATATTTTAAAAGTATAAATACTATTTAGTGCTTGAATAATTATAAATATTTTATTATTGTTCTTAATTATTAAACACAATCTCACAAACATATTATCATGTAGTTGTATAAAGTGTTAAACTTTATTGTTGCATCAAATACCCATGTACACCAATAAAGTTGAACATACTATAATATATTATGTATATGAACCATGAACAAAAAATGTATTTATATTTATATTTTTTAATTTACGATTATCATAACAATAAATATTGAATGTAATAAATATTAATTATTTCATTAAATAAAATCTCAAAAAATATTTTGTAATAATTGCTATATTAAAATAAAGTAAAAACCTTTTTTTCTGGCAATTACAACTTCCACTTGAGCAGATGATTCAGCAAAAGTAATAAATGATTGTTGTGAATCTCTTATTGAATATTTAATGAGCTATTTTCGTCCTTTGTCATCACGGGTTGTTTTTTTGGATGTTGGCACGAATAGAGCATGCAGAAGGTAAAATACATAACAATCTCGACTATCTAAAAATTATTTATATTCTACAATGAAGAACATCATAAAAAGCCATAAAATATTTACTTTCTGTTAGAACATTTTCTTCATTTAAATCTTCAACTAGCTTAGTACTTTGTGAATCTTTAATTTTGAATTTAAATAGTTTGATAAGTTTTGAAATATAATTAGGGTATACTGTCATTAAACTAGATGCATTAGGCTGAACAGTGAGAAAATCAATATCAACCTAGGATGAAAAATTTTTTTTTAATGTTTGTATAGGTATAATATAATTATTTAGCATTTACCAATCTATATCCTGCTGGAAGCTTATAACTAGGCCAAGATAGTAATGTTTCGGAGGTACTTTTACTTTTTCTAATACTATTCAATCTGGTATTAACTGTAGCCGCCCATATAACTTCAATCTCATTAAACGTACAATTATCGTGTTTCAAACTATTTAAATAATGGTCAATATTAGTTTCACTTTCTGAAATGAAAAAATTAATGGATGAATTCCAAAAACTAATAATTAGCTAGGTGATATTTGAAAATGTTTTGTTTGGGAACCAGAGTTCATTGGTTTTACTGTATTTTTAGTTTTTTCAATAAGTCCACCACTTTTGAGACTTCTAATAACATTATGGTATTTGGCATAAAGTTTACCTTTTGGTGCTTTTGGACCATCTCTCATAAAATAATAATCCTATAAAAAAATTATATGAATTTAAATTATTAACAAATAGTAATATTGAATACAATACCTTGACTTCACTAGGAAATGCAGCAATAATTTGATCGGCCATTTCTTCAGCAACTTTAACTGTCATGTTTATTTTTTCTTTGATTGCTGTTTTTATAACTATGTCAACAAGTATTGTCCTACTAGCATCATTTAAAAAACCATTTTTTTTTTAAAATGGTCAAGCACCAAGCATCCTTGATATGAAGACCCAAGGACCTCACATAAACTTAATACAGGCTTATCGATATTAACTGTAGTAGTACCATGAACTGCCACCTTTAAATGGCCATCTCTATTATTATTGTGTGTACATGTACACACATTTATTTGACTATCCTTATTTGTGGACCGAGTTTTCATCAACTTCCCAATAAATTTTATTCGGATACCAAAAGGAAAACCTGCCAATAGAGTGTCACATTGAGAAGGTGTAATGTATTCAAATGCTTCTGTATCAACCAGTGCATCTAAAAATAATAATTAAGTTAAAACTATTATAAACAATATTAATTTATTTTCTTAATACCTACCAACACAAGTTTGATATAAAAAGCTCAAATTCCACTCTTTTAACTGCGTCATTAGTTTTGATGATTCATTTTCGTCCATTTTTAAATATTCCAAATTTTCATGAAGTGATATACTTTCAGGATTTAAATTATAGTTGCTGATATCCAAGAAATTTTAACTATTATTACAATTGATTGGCAATTCATATTCATCATTTTCATAGAGGGTACTCATTATTTTCAACTATAGTAATTTAATTAAGATATAAATTATTTAATGTATTATTTGAATACATACATTTATCACCTAACAAAAATGATTAGTATATTATAAATATAACTTTTATACTATTTTATATTTTAATTTTAACCTTAACTACTAAATATATTACAATAATAGAAAATATAATTGCAAATTTTATATACATAATAATTATAATACACTTTTAATAATACTCTTTGAGTCGAATCATTATTTGACCATTTACTAATCTTACAGTGTTTATAGGAGGTCCGCTAAAGTCTTCTATTTTATAAACACATATATTATTTAACACTGTTAAATTTTCATCAACCACGTACGCATTAAAATGGGAATGCAAATAATTTAATTTAATGTCTTGAACAGCAAGCATGTATTCCTCAGAATCAAAAATAATAATTTGTAATATTTTATAAAGATGTAATTTGTCTGTAACCTTAGTGACATAAAAATTAGTTTTATAAAGAGTTCCTTTAAAGTCAATTTGGGTGTAACATTTAAATTGTTGGTTTGAAACTAAAGTCTGAATAAGTTCTAACTGTTTACTATTCCTACTTCATGAGTTTTATTGACAATTACATTTTTGGATTTTGGACAAATGAGTTGATAAGCAAATTTAATTTGCATTTTTTTTGCGAGAGTGAGTGTTATATTTCTACGAGATGTTGTAGCTTGAGCATACAACTTGAGCTCTTTATTCGAAACGAAAACACCAATAATGTCTTGCAGGCCCTGATTGTTTTATAACTGTAGGGTAATGAGTCAATAAATGGTGTTTTGACTTTAATGAGTCGTGAAATAAATTAATGTATTGCTGATTATGGTTTTTAATTAGCTTTCTTAAAAATATTAAATTTGGTTCACATACACTATAATATGATAAAAGTGCATCAATAATTTGAGTTAAATTTAAAAAAAATGCCCATACTTCATCATTTTCTGGTATCAAGTCTTCAACCATCAATGAAAAGAAGTGAACAAAAGTCATCATTTCCCTAGCTGACATTTTAAGATGATGGTTATTTAAATGGTTAATATTTATAGAAGGAGAAACACTACCAATTTCTATGATATTACTAAGTATATTTGATGATATTATTGTTGATAAAGTAATTTATATAAAGCCTATTTACGTGGACACTTGTTTTAAATTTTCAATCCTTAGCTATAAAAGTTAAACATTTTATAAATTTTGTCAAAATTCAAAGTATAAATGCTTATAAAAAAAAACTGTGCCTATGTATTCTTTATATTGCGTTGCCTTCCATTAAATTTTCACGCTTTTTTACAGAACAAATAAAATTGTATTACAATGTCCGTAAACAGCTCAAAAAGAGTTAAAATATTTTAAACATTTTATGGTGTATAGAAAATGAAAATATAAGCAACCAGAAAAATGTTAATGTATCTACATTCTACAGTTATTCGTTTTTGAATAACAACAAAATAGGAAAATCGCTACATGTTTAATGTTTTTCAAATGTGATTGTAACGATATAGTAGGAGCCTTGCATTAAATTTTCAAGCTTTTTTATCGAACAAATAAAGTTTTATTGACATTCAAAGGAAAAAAAACTAATAAAATTGGAAACAGAAAATGTTCCTAAACAGTTCAAAACAAATCAAAATATTTAGAAAATTTTATCTTGTATATAAAATGTGAATACAAACAACCAGTAAAAATGTTACACCAAAAACCAAATTCGATTTTGTCGAAATTCCCGTTTTTCCTTAATTTTTATATTGTTATTCCCAGCGTATTTGAAAGCTATTGAGAGTTTTAAAATTTTCCTCCTGTTACCAATTAGATTCCTTTTCCCATCAAACAAGATACTCTTGAAGAAAATCGAAGTAGTTTTATTACCCCAAAATATGATGACAGGCACAAAAATAAAGAAAAAATTAAAAAAAAACACACATTATCGTAAAATCAATACATTCAACGCTTCGCTCAGAATCTATAATTTAAATAATATAATTATGTTTTTTTTTTATTTTTATTGGCCTTAAACCAGGCAAATTGTGTTTATTAAGAAATAAAATGTATATATATACTCAGGAAAAGAACAGAAAAACTTGAATAAATCCTGTTTGCGCCACTGGTATAAGAAATGGTTCCAGAATTGACCAATATCCTGTTCTCCCAACATCACAATCTCCCAAAGTAATAAGTTATTGTACGTAATATATATACTTTACTAATTAGATTTTTAATATATATTATATCATTTATATCATATGCAGTGTTGGGGAAATAACTTAATTTAAGTTACAAGTTTTTTTTTTTTTTTTTTATATAATTTTTATTTACAATCTGTTACAATAAAATGAATAATAAGTAAAATAGATAATTGAATAAGTGGCTTGAGGAAAGGACGGATTTAAGAAGCCTTCCAGTGAAGACACTTTGTCAGCTGTTTATATACATTTCAATAAGTTAACAATAAAGTTATAAATAGAAATAAAGATTAGATAATTAACTAAATTAATAGGTCCCGACACCACCGCCTTTTTAGTCTTTTCCTAGGATTGTCGGGTATGTTTTCCGACGCAAGTCCTTTAATTAGGGGATTATCATGGTTTTTAACAGATAAGTTAAATCGTCTATAAAAAGTTCTAGCTACATCACAGACGGGTGAGATGGCAAGATCGTTATGTGAGGTCTGGTTGGACACGTAGAAAGGTGCTTTAGTTATGGCTCGGAGCTTTTTGGATTGGAAGCGTTGGATACGGTTAGTGTTTGAAATTTTAAGTTACAAGTTACTGTAACGAAATTACTTTTTAAGTAATTTGATGGTAATTTAATTACATTTTATTGTAAGTAATTTATATGTAATTTAAGTTAGGTACTTTTTTGTAGTAATTTTTACTAAATTACTCGTTACTTTTTTTTTGGACTAATGCATTTTTAGAACGTAGCCCGTAGGTATTGATAATGAGTGTAAATATTAAAATATATCATATACCTAATTATTATAATTTATAAGTAGAATTTTCTGAACTTGTGATACTAAAATACTTTTGTTATTATAGCTATTTACTATTTGATGATAAACTTTATCGGATAAAGTGTTATTTTTAGAATGGAATTGTTATCTTTGCTCTGTGTTGTGTCACCGCGGTCGCTCGCAGCAGTCTCACGACATCGGCGTCTGCTTGTACAACAGTGTTGTTGGAACTCAATAATAATAATAATAATATATTTTTTTTTTTTTTAATTATCTCGCGGCAATTTAGACCATTGGGAGGGGGGTTAGTACTGTAGGTTTTGGAACGGTACGGGTGTTACACGCGGGTGTATTTTTTGGCAGAATTTCGAATGGGGCACCCGTAGGTTTCTGCAATGCCCCGGAGTGGGGGATGGCGGCACTTGTTTTCCGGACACCGTGACTTGCCCGGAGAAAAATGCCGCCCGGTGGTCGAGAATCGAAACCGCGACCGGCAGCGCCGCAGCCGACGCGTTAGACCGCTCGGCCACCTCGTCCTACTCAATAATTATTATTTATTGCTTATTGTAATAATTACCCACAAATTCGTTTCTTCTAATCGGTGACTATCGTCTGTCGTCGTCCGTCGACGATCTAATCTTATGAATTTCTGATACCTATTGACTATTACTTATTAGTTATTAGTCATGGCTCGTTAGTTCATTACGATTTAAGTTTTAGATTATTCGACAATTCGACATTCGTGAATCACTGGATTTTATAATTTTGAAGTGCATTTTTGTATATAAAATGGAATTAGACAGTGAAAGTGGAGTACCTACGTGAGCTACGGCTACCATGGTCTGTGTAGGTACAACAATTTATTTAAGTTAATTTCGGTAAATGACAACAATTTTGAAGTGAAGGGTAAACTGTGTGTAAATTCTAAAATGTACTCTACTTCTACTAAGAGTAATTCAAATTTAAAGAGACATATAACGGTAAGTACCTAGATACTTTAATACTTAAATAATTTTACTGCCAACTAGATATTCTATTTAAATACAATTTTAATCAATTATGCTAAGCAAGTAATTAATAATGAGAAAATCTTAATATTTTAATATTTTTATGTGAATGCAGAATTGCCATGTAAAAATTTTTATCAATTCTCATAACAATAATTTCTTACAGCAAAATTAACTAGAAAATTACTGTTGGTAGTTAAAATTGTGTAATTTTTTCAATGCGTATTTTCTTCTGAAAATCGTCATTTTGGACAAACCTTTACAATAATTTGGGGTAACGATTGTCGATTTGTGCCTTTTCTTTTAACTGTTACATACATTTAAAAAAAATACATTCTAAATTTACATATAATTTAATAATAATATAAAAACATATTATATGTTTTAGTCAAAACATGCTTCCGAAGTAAAAGAGCTTGTAGCAGATTTAAAAATTGAAAAATCTACTAATAAACATAACAATAATGAGTTTGATTGTGACCAAAGTGCAAAAGTGCAACAAACAATGATGCATTTTCAAGAGCTCAGCCAGTTAGTCAAGGTTTGTAGAAACTTAATATTTAAAATTATTTCTTTGAAATGAATATTTTTTTAGATTCTAAAATTTAGATTCTATGATAATTGAATTTGTTATTATGGGTAACCATGCGTTTAATATTGTCGAAGAAGAAAAATTCAAAATTGTCATTCAGAAAGATTTTCCAAATCGGTTATGTCTATCTAGAAAAACTTTAATGAGTAAAATTTCAACTACTGCGGACGATTTTTTCACTATTTTAATAAACATGCCAATAATGAGATTAATTTTTTTGAAATATAATACTGCTTTACCCTCAAGTGCTTCTGCTGAACGTTTGTTTAGCATAGCAGGAGATATAAGCACTAAAAAGCGATCTAAAATTAGTGACTGTAATTTTGAAAACGCATTGTTGTTTAAAATAAATTTGAAAAATAAAGATTGATATTTAATGTGTAGCAAAATTAGTATTAATTGTTAATAATTTCATATTGTTGATAGTCATTATTTAGTTTGCTTATTGTCATATAGAAAAAATAGTTATTAAGCTCCAGTGATATTAAAAAAAAAAAAAAAAAGTAACTTCCATTTTAATTGAGTTACTTTTAAAACTCAAAAGTAATGTAACTTGACAAAATGAAAAAAAAAAACCAACTTAAAAATAATTTAGTTACAATTTTGATTAGTAATTAGTAATGTAATTTAATTACCCAAAATAAGTAACTTCCCCAACACTGATCATATGGTAGTTGTATATACAACCTAGAACTACTGGAAGTAATAATGGTAATATAAAATTAGGTATATTGGAAAATACCATTGTGTGTAATGTACAACAATACTGTATAGTGTATAGTGTATAGTGTATACAATACAATAATTTACTCTAGAAATCTCATGTATACCCACGAATAATATTACAACTAAATAAAGAGGAACTTATTCTTGGGTTTAATAATATGTAATTTCATCTAAGTTTTAAGTTATAATGTCTATTAAAAAACAACTTTTTTTATACTTTTTTTTTCATTTTGTTTGGTTAAGTTATGACCTATTTATGAGAATCCTTGTATTAATGTTTTTAATCTTTGTTATATAAATTGAACATTTTATTATTTTTGAAATTAAAATGAATTGAACATTATCGAGATTTTGATAAATGTTATTAACATTTGAGCTTTAGACTTATAAATAGGGTTCGGATGTTTAAGCACTTAAAATTACCGTAATATGTATGGATTTATGCACTAAAAAATTAGTAAATATTCACATTGTGAACACACCGTTGTAAAATCAATAAATTCATCGTTCTGCTCAGAATCTAAAATTGAATTATGCATATTTTTTGGATTTAAGTGTTGATGTTAATGTAATATAAGATTGTTTACGTTTATCAACTACCAACGTTCGTATCTATAAAACCTCGTCATAATATTATGTTAACACATAGTTCGGTTTTAAAGGTAAAACTTTAAACGATTAAAAGAAAAGTTCAACACAATTTTTGATCGGAAACACTTATGCCGCATTAGTGGTACCTAGGTACCTCCATAACACACACATTTTTGTGTGCATTTTTTTTATATAATATTTGAATTTTTGAGCAAATATATTTTTTTATTAAATATCGATTTTTTAAATTATGGATTTTTTATCAAACAAAATTTTCAGTAAAATTTTTATTTAATTTACATTTTTTTTATGAAATATAAAGTTTTTTCAAACCGATTTTTTTATGAACATTAAATATATATCAAATATATAGGATTTTTTAAATATGATTTTTTTATGAAACATTTTTTATTTACATTTTTTATCAAATATAGATTTTTTTATATTAATTCTTCAAATATTTATTTCATCGTTGTTTGTTAAAAAATCAATATATGATACAAAATTAATATTTGATAAGTAATCTCTATTTAATAAAAAATCATCTAAATGGAATAAATATCTTAATATAAGAAATTTATTTGGTAAATATCCATAATTTAATAATAAATGTTAATAATAAAACTGTTTGATAAATAATAATTAATAGCATGTTGTCCGAAGTCTATCGGCCAAAGTCGGGGGCTGCGTGAATCCCTGACTTTTTTTTTTGATTTCTAAGTTTTCTACTGATTTTAATGAATAATTAAGATTATTAATAAAAAGATAGTAAATGACTAAAAAAAAACAAAATTGACTCAAAAATCATGCATAAATTTGCCCCATAAAAATTATGAACATAATTAATGTACCTACCTTTGTATACCTAATTATTAACAGTATAATATGTTAAAAAAAATTAATAAAAAAATTGACATAATATTAAGTTAAATATATTAACTTGAAGTGATACTGCAAAATGTAATTAATAAAAATATTAAATAACTATTATAATAAACTATAACTACTAGTAGGTAATAATAATTAATTATCCTATTAAAAACTGATTTTACCAATTAATTTTTATTTACAAGTCATATTTATTAACTATTGATATACATTCATTTAATTAATAGTTTTAACATTTTTGATCAGTTTTTCATAATGCGTATTATTAAAAATCGAGCTGAGGATTTATTTTTTCAGATTTGTTAAAACATTTAAATATTTAATTAATTTCAAAAGTAGTTAAATCAATTTTTTTAAATAAAAAATAAGTTACGTTATTTAAGTAAAACGAATTGAGATTTTAAGACTTGAGATTTCATACTATTATTAGATTTATATATAATGGTGTTTTTAATTAATTGTTTTATTATTTTTATTAATTTTCAAATTATATTAATCTATATTTTGAGGCAATTTTATTATAAATCTTGATTAAATTGTATTAATTATTTGTATGTATATTTTTTAATTTATTATAATTTGTATTAATTAATTTTTGTCATTTTTATAATGGTAAGAGCTACCTTTTTAGGTATGTTTTCGTAAGCTCCTTTAATATTTAACTCATATCTATAAATCTATTTACTATATTATTTCTAAATACAATTTGTTATGCCTTAATCAAATTACTAAATCTCTTTTGATTATTTTCCTTTTAAACATTCTGTTGTTGCATTTGTAATATATTTTTGTTTTACGTAGGTTATATATACATTGTAATTGCTTAAGATGGGCAGAAAACTATTGGTAAACCCAGTAGAGCTGGAAAAGAAGTTATTAATGTATGTTAAAACTTTGTTTATTAATGGAAAATTGCATTATAGAAGTCTAGCGTGGACTGAAATAAGCAATGAAATGAACAACGTTGTCAAACCTTATAGTTTATATTTGATTGTGTCTCAAAATCTATTCAACATTTTGAATAATTTAAAGAAAAATTTTTTTCCACTAGAAACATCTTATGACGATTGTGAAAATAGTAATCCAAAATATGAATCGAATACGGAAAGCAGTACTACATCGGACTATGAGACAGATTCAGATTCAGAACTAAAAAAAAATATCGTGTTAGATTTAGACATTCCATATGATACATATTTCAAAATGAAACCTATAAATGTACAGTATGGTAAAGGTAATAAGGAAAGAAATGATAGGGTTTTAAAACCAGGAACGTGGACAGATTTAATATTTGAAGAAATTTATAAAAAGTTCAAGTTACCATGCTCTTTTATATTTAAAAGGTGTAAAATTTATCCAACTTCGGATAGTATGTTCCTTAAAATTTTAACTTAAACAGAAGTAGATATTGTATATAATAGTTTTATTTACACAGTATTTAAACACAGACTTTTAATATGAGTAATAAGACTATTTAACTAAGTATAATTATATAAAAGAGTTTGTAACGAAACAGAACCATCTAATTACAATTCTCGCACAATAGCGCGCATTCATGAATATGCCACAGCCAGAATCCGCATGAACTATTCGTCGTCGTTCGTCCGACTGTGAGTGTTTGTTACGCGCACTAAATGGCGGGCAACGCCATCACCTCTTTGAAGTGCGCGTACCAGCAAGAAGTACCAGCAACCTAAAAAAGCAACATCCGCCACCATTCTGAGGAAAATTATCAATGAATATATTCCCAGGATTGGAAAAATCGACCAGCTGTTAACTGACAATGGAACCCAGTTCCACAGTAAGCAGTGGTTCAAGCAACTGACAGCCCTAGGGATCCGGATCAGGCACACAACCACGTTCCACCCGGAAGGCAACCCAGTCGAAAGAGCCAACAGGGAGATAGGAAGAATGCTTCGCACCTACTGCCACGCAAAACACACCAACTGGGTGAAATGGGTTCCAAAAATCGAGTATTGGATCAACCATACATATCACAGTTTAACGGGATACACCCCACATCAGGTGTTGTATGGACAAGAACCAGATACCACCACAGCACCACAGATACAATTCCCCGACCATGAATACGGACCCAATCAAGAAGAGATCATCGAAATAGTCAGGAAAAGACTAAGAACAAAAGCCAACGCGAGAAACCGAACCAAAGACCAAGAAAAAAAATGCATACGCTATCACACGGGTCAACGATTTCTCGTAAAAGAGCATAAACTATCATCAGCCGAAGATCACGAAATACATAATTTTTTCTGCTGTACAGAGGTCCTTACACAATAGTGCTGCAATACTGCAATACTGTACTATTGGAAGATTTGACTAAGCAAATAATACGGTGCAATGTGAAGAACATCAAGTTGTACCACGGGGATCCAAAGAAGGATGAAGATATGTGTTTTCCTCCCGATCCAGGGAAATCCTGCGATCAATCATCCTCTGTATCCAATTAAATCCATATAAATAATTTGTGACCATGACTTATTCTCCAATAGGACACGAAGTCATGTCACAAAACTCATTCAACTTACTGTCAGAAGACCACACCGACGAAGAGTTCCTCGAACTATTCGGCACGGAATACTTGTCTCTCGACAGTGAGTACCAAGCGTCAGTGAAGAGAATAGACCCAGAGTTTTCAACAGTAGAAAGGAATAAGGCCAAGGCGCAATATGAAAGAGAGAGTGCCGCTAAGCTGACTATGTAATCACTATGTAACAATACCGGGTGATTCTTTTATCAAACAACACTCATTATTTCAAAAAGTGTAAATTTTTTTGAAGACATTTTTTTACATAGTTTCAATTCGCTTATAAAACAACGTTTTTATTAAAAAATTATTTTTTTAATTATTTTTTATCCTTATAATTTTTTAAGTTTTTTACTTTTTTGAATAACAACATAGGGTTTTAATTTTATATTCCAAAGCAGAATATTTTTCTTAGTATTTTGATACATGAAAATCGAATTTGGGTTGAGAAATAAATTAATAATAATAATAATAATAATTAAAGTTTAGACGAGCGGTGAAGTGGACAAACTTTTCGCGGGGTAACCCCGAACCACTCCACTCCGCTAGTCTAAACTTTAAATACTTATAACTCATAAACTACTCAACCCAAATTCGATTTTCATGTATCAAAATACTAAGAAAAATATTCTGCTTTGGAATATAAAATTAAAACCCTATGTTGTTATTCAAAAAAGTAAAAAAAACTTAAAAAATTTTAAGGATAAAAAATATTTAAAAATATAATTTTTTAATAAAAACGTTGTTTTATAAGCGACTTGAAACTAAGTAAAAAAATATCTTCAAAAAAATTTACACTTTTTGAAATAATGAGTGTTGTTTGATAAAAGAATCACCCAGTACATATTAGTAATGCGGGAAATAGATTAGCAATTTCGCAAATGCGTAGTTAGGTCGATGGCCACATAACCCACATCCGCTAGAACAAAGATACCGAATCACTAGGCAAGGGGAGCGGGGACCGAACTATAAGAGGGACCCCGAAATGGCCTGTATTCAGACGTGTCCACTCAACGCTACTGCAAGCACCTTCACGCAGCTCCGTATAACGATTGTCATTTTGGACTTAGCACCATTGTGATTGTTGGAACTTTAATAAACAACAGTATAATTTGGCATTGGTGTTATAATCATTCAACTACTACCTCATCTTCACAGTAAACGGTCTAGCTACCTGCAACTGTTAATATACTAGTAGCTATCAGAGCCACCAGTATATTACATTCTAATAACTAATTTGATTTATAGCCCTAAATTATTTGTATTAGTTAACAAATACATGCGAGTGATAAGGAGAAAGGGGCTGAATAGGCAATCACATACATTTTGGAGCTCTATGGCGCCAGTAGGTCGATTCTGTAAGTCGATAATAATGTATCGAATAATATCGATAAGAATTCGTTAATGAGTATCACTAAATGTATCGAAAATCTTTATCAAAGTTGCGATTCTATAAAACTATTTATCGACAAACATTGATACATAAAAGGTTATCGAATTTTCGATATGAAATAATTATTCAGCGGGAGATTGTAAACTGTAGCCAATGAGAACCTCAAGTTCTAAACATCTGGTTTTATCATTTTATAACTTAAATAAATTGTAAATATAAATATAACAAATGGATACCATAAATACCCAAAGCAGGTAAATAATCGTTTAGTTATTTGTTTAATGTATTAATTTGCATTGTTCATAAATATTGAATTATTCATTGTCACACAGTAGCCAAGTTCAGAACTGAAAAAAATCAAGGCAGGGAAGAAGGAATGAAAAACAACTATCTTTTTTGCTTGACTACATGGTCCAGCATCCACATGTAGCCACAGGAAAATTTAATTCTGTCCACGGAAGGGATGACTTGAGAGGTTCATGGGATGATTTAGTTGTGAATTTAAATAATTTGCGAAACCAGGGGGTTAAGGAGAAGGATGTGAAATCGTGGAAAGAGGTTAGTATTCAATTAAATGATAGCAAATTGTAACTTGTAAGTGTTTCTCTTATAGAAAAATGTAAATCATAAGATAGTGTCCATAATTTTTATGCTGTATTGTATAAATTATACAATGTGTTTTTAAAGGGTTTTGTTATATTATAGTCATTTAGGGACCTGAAGACTAAAGTGTCCAAACAACATTCTGCTCTCCGGAACGCCAAAAGACTGACTGGGAATAAGGCTATAAACATTCCGGAGTTGACTGACAGGGAGAACAAAGTTCTCGGTCTAATGGGTTATGAATATGTAGAAGGCACAACTTGTCCTGATTCATTTCCAGACGATCAAGTATTAAAATATGAATTATAATTGTTGAAATAGTGATATTTCACAAATAGGTACATGGGTTTATTATAATGTAAATTTTTTATGGTAGTGTGATGATGTTGAACGTTTAGCTGCAGGTGATCATTCCATACTAGAAACCGAGCCTATACCAATTAGAACTCATGTTGATAATGAAAGTAAACAATTTAAAAATAATTATTAATTAGGGGAGTGTTGTACACTTGTACCTTGGGACCATTTTATTGTAGATATAATAAATCTATACATGAGTACTTTTTTTTTTTCAAACAAATTATTTAGTACATGCATACCAACCAATTTGGTTTTTTTTTAGACCTTAATAAAACTTTTTTGTATGAATTAACACCATTTAAAATTATCATTTCAAAATATTTAACGGAAAATGGCACTAACCTTAAGAACTTCTATCACAAATTTAAATGTTGAAGATTTAAAAAAACCAAAAATAGTTATTTTGATAGGTGAAATTAAATTGTTTTACTATAAATTCATCAGTGGTTTTTTTGTTCTAACTGAATATATTTCAATGTCATAGAACTAGTGACTATAATTTCCTCCTCGAATTAATTCTTTACCATTTACCTATAAAGGCAGAAATAAATATAAGACCAAGGTACATGCAGTCCATGGCACAACACTCTCCCCTACTATATAACTAAATACAATTTGTTAAAAATGTAATTGTTTGTTTTTGTTAGTTGTTTTTGATCATTTAAATCAAACTGCCAATGAATACATTATTGAATATGATGAGCAAGATGAATCTACGATTGCAACTCCAAATTCAGCTCAGATTTCAAGTTATCAACCTGAAATTCCTGTCAACTTTGAAAACTAACTTTCGTAAAAGAATACTGGTTCAAACTCTAAACAATATGGGTAAATGTTTATATTTTTAAAGAGAGCAATTTTACATACCTAGTGAAGTAGGATACTGAGATTTCAATTTTTTTTCTCATCAACTTTTGGGGTAGTTGAAAATATTTTGATTTAGCTAAAAAGAATTTAAGAACCCAATTGGGAGATGCAAGGAATACGTTCTCTAAGTTAGCTGAAAGAAATGCACAACATATGGATGTAAATATTAATAAATGTATTTGTATGTAGATATTCTTTTAATGATTATGATGATTTTGGTACTTTTTCAGAATATAAGTCTATCTATTTCTCAGTTGGCAAGTGATATGAATAAAATGGCTGAAAATGATGAACGGAAATTAACAAACGAGGAGAATATGGTGTCTGTTATGTAACTGTTAATCGAAAAAATGTAGTTCCTTAATGTTAACAGATATATAATATATCTGTATTATTATTATTTTGTTTGCTTCAGAAGTTGATTTATTTAATTTAATTTTCTTAAATACATTTATTATGTATTACAGTTATTGTGTAAATATTTAGTAGTTATGTTATTTTCAAAAATGTTGTTGTGGTAAATAAGTGCCTATTTTGATTTGTTATTAATACAAAAAATTGAACAAAATTAAATGGCATTTCAGTATTTGTTAGAAATTCATTAAAAGTAAATTATGTTCATAGAGAATTTATAATAATTAACTTAGCATTCATGTTGAGTTCAACCAATTTTTTTTAATTTTTATACAAAATTATTTAAACAAAAAAAATGAAACAGAAATATTATACAAACATGGCAAAATAACAATTAGGGCCACAATGATTCAGCAAATTTATATTTATAGTGAATACACAACGCCGGCCCCGGTATTTGATATATGATACATTATTATTGATCACCATCAACATAATTAGGGAACCAGTTAGCCATTAACTGTTTCTGTATTTTCATTGCAACCACCCTTGGTCCTCTTCTATCTTCAATTTCATTATTTTCATTAATTCTATTATTTCCTCCAACTGAATCTTGTTCAATACAATCTTCGAAAGGCAGAATAGAAAGACGATAATGAACACGCATGTTATGTATAACTGCGCATGCATTTACAATTTTTCCAGCAGTTACAGGTACATACATCAATACACGTTGATATGAGAGGCATCTCCACATACTTTTGAATACACCGAAAAATCTTTCTACAATGTTTCTGGCTTTGCAGGGTTTTTTTGTATATTGATACTGTCGTGTCCCTTCTGGATAACGTGTTAGTGGTGTTAAAAGCCAAGGCTCAAGAGGATAACCAGCGTCACCTTGAAATAATCATGAACACTTTTACAACTCATATAATTCAATAGTTAGTGTAATTAATTATTTAATATTATTAGTACCAATTAACTATGTGTATCTTTCACCCCCATTGTAATGAAATTCCATAGCCCTCCGTATAGGAGAAACACTCCATATGTAAGAATCATTTCTTGCACCTGGGAATCTGGCGTTAATATTTAATATTTTTAACTCTGGATCAACTACCTAAAATTAAAATTTCAAAAATTATTTGTGTTTCAAAATTAATATTATTCTATACATACCGCTTGAACATTAAGAAAATTGTTCCCATGATGATTCACGTATGCTTCTTCATGATTCTTTGGGGCAAGAATATTTATATGTGTGCAGTCAGTAGCACCAATAGCACCTTCAAAAGCTTGTGGGGCATTTGAAAACTTTTCTCGAGCCCTGTCTCTTTCAATTGCTGTCATTGGAAAACGAACCCAACGCCTCAATAGTTTTTGATTTATAGCATTGGTTACACTATGTATGCATCTGCTGACCGAGGACTGACTAACATTTGTAATAAAATTATCTCCAGCTCGTTGGTAGTACACCAACCTAACGTAACCTTTTGCATAGAAGTTTACCATTACATACTAATACCTAAGTGTGAAAAACAAAACAACAATATTGTACAAATAACAAAAACAGTGTATATTTTATGGACTAATTAATTTTGTAATAATTCAATAGGTATATTAGTATCTAATTAAAAATAAACATGTGTAAAAATTTAACACATTTATAATTGTATATAACAATATTTAGGTTAAAATATATCTAAAATTGTATAATTACTTGAATTTCCACTGAAAGTCCTGAACTACGTTCACGTTGAAGTGAATCACGAATGCTGTTTCTTAAGTACATAGCAAGTTCTGGACTAACTCGGAATGTATTCATGAATTCGTTTATTGGTAGATCATATGGATTTTGAGTATCTCTGAGTACTTTTCTCTCTACTCTCCTCTCTAACATCCTAACCCTTTCTTCCAACTCTAACAATTCCCAACCAAGATAATATTCAGCCATAATATTATTGTATAAACAACTTTTAAAACTAAATATGCAAAAAATTACAATAGACAAGAGCAGGTAAAAATATTTATAATTAATTTATTTGTATTTTAACGATATATCCAATTAAACGACTATAGGTAAATTAAATGTGTGAAACTGTGAAAGTATGAAAGATGTGAAGGTGAAGGTGTGATAATTGATAATGATAAATTATAACATATTCGCTAGCCATCGAGTATCAGGTAACTTTAAAATTTTTTTTCTTTGCCTATCAAAATAATCTTGTACTTCATTTAATTGAGCACAGCGTTTTGCGCTACCAGAAACATAAGAAGCTACTGATCGTATAAGCTGTTCAGCAGACCGTGGTAATTGTGCTGTAGCTTTGCTGGCTATTATAGCTGAGGAATGGCAAATACAACGCATAGTAAGCACGTCAGGCGAATCTTCAGTAATATGTGTCATGAATGAGTTGTGTTTTCCAACCATTCACTTGCTCCATCACATGCAACACCAATGATATTGTCCAAAGGAATATGTTTTTTTATTAATACTTCTTTGAATTCCCCATAAATGCTCTTAGCTGAACAGTCCCTTGCATCTATGCTAACAAGTTCAAGTAATTTAGTATGTATAGTACCATAATTTGGATGTCCAAGTCTTAATATCAAACATAAAAACTTCTGACTTGAAATATCAGTACTCTCGTCTACAAGAACTGAGAACGGATTCTTTGATATAATATCCGTAATATCAGATGTTTCAATAGGTGCTATTATTTTGTTTATAATACTGGTACATTTAGTGCGATGTAATTCTAACTTAGAGAAAATTTTAGAATCAGGAAATATTTCTTTTAAAAGTGGTGTTAAATGATCAATCAAATGAAATGCCAAATTGTGTTCGGCAAAGAAAGCAGAAATTTTAATATCGTTATTTTTAATTTTTGGTTCTTGTATATCACTAAACATTGTTAATATTTTAGAAGTACCTTTGATCCCTTTGGAGTTGATGATGTGCTTCTTTCCTTGACTATGTTTATCCAATTCGCTTTTGCCACTTGCCAAAATAACATTGCATACAACACACTTCGCCTTTAAATGGTCTTTTTCCAACTTCTTCCAACCAATCCTTAAATTCATCCTTTGTCAACCATTCCTGGGAAAATAGTTTTCTGTTTGTCCTTTGTTTTTTGATTTTCGACAACTCATTTCTACTGGAACGAATTTTTTTCGGCGTCGATGGCCCTCCATCTGAATCACTCATTTTTGCTACAAAAAATATTTGCTGTTAATTTAATATTAAATTTAATTAATTAATAGGAAATAACTAATAATTACCGTAATCGTATGGCTGTAATCGTTTATCAAACCGTTGGACGTTGAGTAGTGTACTAAAACTAAACACCAGCGTTAAACAGTTGTAGGCTACTACCATGTAATAATATTTATTAAAGATAAGACTATCAATAGTGAATTGGTGAGTACTCATCTTATACCACGGTTCTAAAATATACGGTGCTTATACCGTAGGTTTATGTGTATCGAGATTCACAATAATCAAAGAAATCATCCGTTTTCAGTATATTATCAATAATTATCAACTGATTATTTAATTGTTTAATTGAGTAACAGTAAAAAAATTGTATAATAATTCAATAATTGTATTTTGAAATGTAATTTATAATAAGTGTATATTTCCCTTTATTTTATGTATGTATACTCTAGATTCCCCGCATTCCCTTTTTATGTTGGTCCTCCTTTTTGCTGCTTTCGGGTGCGTGTGTTACCGTCACCCAGGTTGGTGGTTGTGGGGGGTTTTGTTGCGCTTTTTTCAAAACGTAATTTTGTGGGGTTTTCCCCTCTGTTTCCTGAATGTATTGTTAAGTGTTAGGTAAAGTTCTGACTTCGTACCCATGGTTCCTAACCCTCTTTTGGTTAGTTCCCCGATTGTCAGTTCGTTGATAGTTTTCTGACCAGATTGCATCGTGTACTAGCACGTGGAGGTCCTTCCTACTACTATTGATTTCGCCTTGCTATCCTAGTTATGTAGGGAGGGTATATTCCCCGTGTTATTTTTTTTTCTTTCCTTTTTGAGGTTTTGAACAAGTAATTTAAATTCCTTACCTGTTTCGGGCCTCGTGGTTCTGAATATTTTTCCAACTGCGCTAATGACACAAAGCAATCTACGGGATGGCAAAACACTGGTGACCGTATTTGGAACCCCGTGGGTTATATATTAATGAAACACAGACATCAGTACTATTTAAAGTATAATATATTTATTTAGCACAATTTATAAAAGGACTGTTACATAAAAACGAGGCGACTCGTGGTACGCGGACGTGAGATTGAAGACTCTCGTCCTGCCGCGCCGCAGGTCCAGACGTCGGTCGACACCGCCGTCCCCACCCCCGGCACGGGGCGTCCCTACTCCGACCCGGGTCGCATATAAGCATTCTGGGGTCTGTTTCGGCACCTGTGTTCAAATACGCATTCTCATTGGTCGATTTTAAATTCCTTCCAAATTACTACAGACTATAATATGATAATATGATAATATGATAATCATTACAAATTACAATAGACAGTGCAAATAATAGTATATACCACCTATTGATTATTACTTTTAATTAATTATATAGTGTTTTATGGTGTATTACTCCATTAATAAAAAAATGTTTAAATTGATCGAATGTGAAAGTAATGTTTATCTCTATAATTTGTTCACTGAGCAAGACATTTTTAAATGGATTAGTGAGTATAGCAATGAAACAAATACAAGTAGGTGTATGAATAATAAATCAGCATTTAATGAATGTTCAAAATGTGTGTGTAGGTAAGTTAACTTTGTATTTACTAAATAGTAAATTAATGTATAATGTAAAATTAATGTAATTAATCATTTATGTAGCTATAATAATACTGAATGCAGGTATCTTCATTTTAATGTTCAAAACAAAAATAAATATTTATAAAAATTTAAAAATTAACAGCTGCTGTTGAATACCTAGTTTTTGTAGAATATTATTAACTCTTCAAATCAAATATATTATTACTTATTAGGTAGGTCCATAATATGTATTAAGTGTATAGAACTTTTTATTAGTACAACAATATGAAGGTACTAGTCAGTTGTTATTACCACAGATTAAATGAAATTATGAAATATTACATTTTATATAATCTGTGTTATTATATTATATTATATTTTAGCTGGTTCAAATAGTATTGGAAAAGTGTAATACTTTCTTATAATAATTATTTTTATAAATTTAAATTCTGAGTGGAACAATGAATGTATTAGTTTTACAATAATGTGTTGTTTTTTGATATAACTCAAAAAAAAAAAATATTCATGTTGAATTATAACTTTTACATATAGGTAGGTACTATACTTAAATTTATGTTATTTTCAGTATCTTCAGTTGTTTCATAAAAATTATTCATCATCTCATTCATCTCTTCAACAGCTATATTATATTCAGTCTCCATTGCTTCATCAAAATTATTTGTTATCTCTTCAACAGCTATTATATTATTTATGTTATTTTCAGTCTCTTCGATATTTTCATTTAAATTGTTTGTAACACCTTCAACAGCTGTATTTATTGATCCAATATCCTCAAAATTAGTGTTCTCCAATTCAGCACCTTAAAAAATCAAAACAAATCTATTAATATATAAAATACATAATAATTTGAAATAAATAATAATATTTAATAAATATGAAAATATTACCTAAATTAATAATACCAAGAGGTATAACATCTTCATGCTCTGTCATGGAATTGATAAAACTTTGATTGTTTTCATTTAATCGGCAGGCATTATCATAATCAAATTCAATTGGCATATTATCGATATCCATAATATTTAAATTGTCCATACAAATATTTTGTTTGATATTGTTCCAAAAATCAATTAAGAAGACACATTTTTTATTGGAAATAGCGGGTTTAGCAGTTTGCTTTCAAATTGCTCAATATTGGTTTTTCCCAAATACTTTTCTAGAACTTTTAATGTAATTTTATACTGCTCTATTGTTAAAATATCCAGTTCATTATTTGGAGTTGGATAAAGTATCTTTCTTCTGTATGAAATGCATTTAGAATAATCTACTGCATCGGCATTGAACGGATACAATCCACATTTTCGAAAACCATTTGTAATTGAACTGGTTTTAACCGAATTGAATGCTTCCTTGAAATAATTAACAAAATTTGTTTTAGTTATTGGATTTCCTGATCTCTTGTTTTTTCCAACAACACTTTTCCAACTTGCTTTTAATGGTTTAAATATAGCAACATCACACGGTTGCATAATGTTTGTACTATTCGGAGGCAAGCAGTATAAAATAATTTTATTAGCAGCACAAAATTCAGTAAGTTCCAAACTTAAATGACTTTTATGACCATCAAGGAACAATATCACTGGGAATTGTATATTATTTTTGATCAGCCATGGAAAAAATCCATTTGAAACGTATTCATAGAATGTGCTACTCACCATCCACCCAGAGTCAGATCTTCCAATCACCCAATCCTCAGGAAACGTTGCCAATATTGATGTTGGAATTCTTTTATATGGGTATAATACCATTGGCGGTGGAACACCACCTTTCGCTGAGTATGTACATAACACAGTAACACACTCTTTTTCGTGTCCCTGGGCAATTTCATAAAAGTCTTTTATGTCTTTAGGACCTAAAACTCTACCAGACTTGGGACATGTTTGTAGACCAGTTTCATCACAGTTGAAAAGTCTACTAGGATCATCTAACACATCACGACAATTTTCGTTTTTGACATATAAATCTAACTCTGTAAACCAATCACGGATTTTTTCTTCTGTAACCGCTGCTCGTGCTTTTGAAATTACTTCTGTATTTCGCTTTACTATTTCAGGATTTCTTTTTAAAAATAGTTTCATCCATTTATCCCCTGGTCTTGAATCTTTAAAGGGTGTAACCCGTGGAACATCTTTAATAACTTTCTGCACTGAATCTTTGACATCATTTTCTCTCAAAGGAAATCCAAGTGTGGCATTGTTTAGGATCCAATTTTTTATTTTATTTTCCTCATCAACATTTAAAAATGAACTAGGACCCATTTTCCTAATTAAAGGAGATTTTCCAGATAATTTTATTGACAATGTAGATTTAGGTATTCCATACTTCACAGCAGCTTTGTTAATTGATAATTTTGTGTCTCTTATATCTTTTAAGGCTGAATCTAGGTCTTCAACCGAATATTTGAATTTAATTGCCATCTTGAAAACTATTATAAGTAAAACCATAACCATAATAACTTGTAGTTAAAAAAAAAATTCTCTTAGAATATGGGTTGAAAAAAATATTAATTCATGGTTTACGTATATAACACCTTGTTTTTTAATTTAATAAAGTTTAACATTTACATATATGTGCTTTATTTAAAAACAAAAAATATTTATATTCCTTATGCATGGTTAATGGTTATATTTTAAATAACTTAACAGTATTCAATTTCTTAAATAATAATAGGTAGGTATATTGTTCTTAAAAATAAGAACATGTAGATATTTAGTACCTATTATATATTTTAAAACTGAATACCTGCCAAATTTCTATTAAATATTAACATATTTTTATCCAATAATGATCCTAAGAGCCGTGGACGATAGTTTAATAGGATAATTCATCGATAAATCTTAACGTATCAAAAAAATATAGTATAAAATACCTGTTCAATTACTGGATATATTCATTTAAGAACTATATGTAATATAAACAAAAATATTCCTTGATTTAGTTATTTAATAAGTGCAAATTTTGAGACAAATCCGATTTTAGGTTAATATACCAGTAATTGAACACCCATTCAATAACTAGATATTACTGAATTTATGTTTCCAGTAATTGAACACTCAAATAAATAGAAATTAAAAATATTTTTAATACATTTAAAACTTAAAAACGGTTCAGAATGTAGTCTTATATATAATGAAACCATTAATTTTATGATAAAATAAGTATAAAGGAAGTTATTAAGTTCCCACAAAAAAATTCAAAGCTACTTACTTAGAGTTTTGACCTCGGTTTGCCAATAAATGTGAGAGAGCCGTTTTCAGACGTTATCAGTCCGGATTACTATCATACATGGAGTATCAGATTGTTTGTTTACAGTTTGAACATAAGGTCAAATATTTAATTTATTTATTATTACGTGATTTAACCAGACTGTTTCCTTAAATTCTAGATATAACTAAACTTTGTACAATAACTGGAGGGTGTTCAGTAACTGGACCGTTTACGGGTAAACCGTCCAGTGATTGAACAGTTAAGGATTTTTCCACCTTTAGAATTCATTGATACGTTTGTTTTTTTATATCATATTTATAAAGTGTAAACTAAAATATTGCTTATTTTGTCTATTTTAAAATGAGTATAAATAAAACAATACCAATTTATATCAATATATAGATCAATTACAATATTTAAAAAAAAATACAAAAACCTAGTAATTGAACACTTTGGACTAGTGATTGAACAATTTAGACCCAGTGTTTGAACATGTTATAGTATTATTTTTAATTATTCATATTTCATTTAATATTATACAAATACTAAAATAACCAACATAATTTATTCAAATATATGTTATGGTAAAAATTGTATAAATAACTGTCAATTTATTTTAATTTTTTTAAAGCCAAAGGATATCCCACTTTACTAACTTTTTTTACTGAGTAATGAGTATTCAAATATCTACCAATGTATTTTAAATACTTTTACAAATAAGTATATCAGTACATATCTGTAATTTTACAAGACCGCTGATTAGAACTGGTTATTTTGGACCTACAAAGGACTGATCAATTAAAATGTTTAAACAAGAAATATATTCAAAAAACATAAACAATATTACAATATGTATGAATGTAATAACTAATTATAAAATAAAAACAAGTTAAAACAGATGCCTTCTTGGACTTGGTTAAAATAAAAGTTGAAATAAAACAAAGAACAATCTTCATATAACAATATAACAGAACAATCTTAGTATAATAATATAACATTGGTAATTTATAAAAATCAAAGACACATATCACATTCAAACACAGCAGTATTTTCATATCCAGCACAAAGTTCATGGGCCTAACCAGTACAACTACAACATCTGATCCACTGTTCTCCACTTTTTGACAATTTATAGGGTTCATTGCAGTATATACAACTTACATCTTCTTCATCTTTAACATGGTGTAACTTCTGTATTGGTCTTTTTTCTTTCAACTTTTGTCCTGTTTTTTTTTTTATTTGGTTTGGTTACTTTTAAGCGTTTAGCAGCTTGAATTTCTTCTCTTCGCTTTCTTTTTTGGGCCAGTTCCTCTTCTTTTATCAGTTTTTCTTTTTCTTTTTGTGCGTGATGTTCTATCCACTTGACTGATGTTACTGCAAATGGCAGTTTTATTTGTTCTCTTTTTTTGCCTTCTTTAACATCTGGTCTTGGCCAAAATAAATGTTTTCCCCAAGACTCAGCAAGTGTGTTATTTGCTTCACTTAAATTATTTGTAGGATTATTTTCTATACTTAAATTTATATTATTTTCAGTCTCTTTAATTGCTTCACTTAAATTATTTGTAGTCTTGTTTACTATACTTAAATTTATGTTATTTTCAATCTCTTCAATTGCTTCACTTAAATTATTTGTAGTATTATTTACCTACCTACTATACATTTTACTATACACAATGACATTTTAAAAATATATGAATCATTTTAAGATATAACCTAGGTATTCATACTATACACCCATTTACACTTTTAAGGCAATACTACTTTACTGTAGAACTAAAGTGGTATTGCCGAATATAATTAATAACAATAATATAAAATGCTATGAATATAAACTATAATAACTAAATATAAATAATATAATAATTAATGTATGCTTTCTGCAAAAATTAAATCAACCAACTTTAATGGGTGCTTTAATGGCAATATCAAAACATATTTCATGACAAATACTTGATGTAAATCTCAGCTTAGAATTGTTTTTTTGAATAAGTACAAAATAGTACCTACCATGAAAAACAATTGAATTAAAATTTAACACATTTATTGACTTTTGGTAACCTACTACACATCTACTATACAACACAGTGGTACCCAAGGGTGCCCACTGCCCATCAATTAGAACACAAGGGGTAACAATATCATAAAGAAAAACTAAGTAAGTACCAACAAAATTGTTTTTATTAATAACAGAAAATAGATATACAACATAGATAAATCATATTTTCTTGTAATAATATTATGTAAGTTTGTATAATATCATCAGTAAAAATATTTTATTATTTACAGTTAAGAAATAACTATTATTTCACATTTGTCTAGGGGGGTGACATAATGTGACCCCTTTACACCACCTAATGGGAGTACGTCTAGGTTATACCCACATTCCCACCTTTAATTTAATTTTAATATTTATATATTTAATATTAAATAATAGGAAAATAGATATTGTTTGCAATAATAGTTCAATACCTAGTGCATATCGTAACATTTTATTATAAAAATAAACTTTTTTCAAAAAAGCTTTTTAATAATAGTTGTTCCTAATATTTACTAGAAAGATCTATGTATGCCACCATAGTGGTTTCAATAAGTAAACCAAACCAGATAATATGATGGGAAAATCGAAAAACGCCCAGTGTAATGCTAAGATAGAAATAAAAATCAATTTGACAACGAAGGATACAAAAAAAAAAGATAAATTTGTAAAAGTAAGTAAGATAATGATTTATAATATTAACAATTAAGCGCCATAGGTACTAAATTTAATATTATAGTTGATTTTTATTTAGTAGGTATCAATAGGCAATAGTATTTAAGTATTGTTATTTTAACCTATTTTTATTTTAGGATGGATTGCCTGCTATAATAAAGATAAATAATGATCACAATAACAATATTAGATCTGCAGAAGCACTATCCTTTTTAAAGCCTTCTGAAGAATGTAGAACACAGTTTGAAAACTATTTTAATGATGGTTTAGGTAAGATAATTATTGAATTATTAATTTCCATATTTTGAATTAGAGTTTATTTACACACATTAATTTTATTCAGGTATATCAGAATCTATTAAAATGCATGAATCAAAACTTGAATTAGAATATGGTATTAACTCCAATGAATTGGCTAATGCCACTATCAATCTAAAATATAAGACAATTCGCCATTGGTATGATGTTTGGAAAGAAAACAATTTGGGCTCTTCTAATGATATAAGTGTTTTGCAGGTAATTTCACAAAATTAAAAAGTGTTTTTGTTATTACTTATAAATTCTATTTTTTTATTTTTATAAAAAAATATAATTATAAAAAAAAAGAACATAATTTCATGGTCTATCATTAGGCATGTACTTATAATAGATTACATATACCTATCTATTATAAGTCTATGATAATTAAGTATTTACCTATCAAATATAATATCTAAATAATAATCTATAATATCTTTTTGATACCAAAAATTATTATAGACACTTAGGTAGGTATTAATTTGATAGTTCATCAAATAGATAAATAAATATTTTATCATAGGTGAGTACCTACTTAGAAAAATAAATAAAACATAGAACCTATTTTGAAAAATTAGAATGTTTTGAATTATAAGAAGATAATAAATTAACACACTGTAACAAACAAAATAAATTATAATATATATATATATATAGGTGTAGTTTTGTTTTTACTTATATGAAATATAAACATTTATTGACTGCATATTTGTGTAATAAATCTATTCAATAAATAAATAAGCCAGCAATCATCTTTTACAGTTTAAATGGGTAATAGTTTTTTTTTAATATTTTAAAAGTTTTGAATACCTACGTTTCTGAAGTTTTTAGATTTTAAAATAAGTAATTTTTGTTTTAGAAACTTGAAGAGAAGAAAAAGTATTATGAAGAAAACGGAATTATTGTTAGGTACTCTGAAAATCCATTTGCCATTTTAGTCATCACCTCTATAATGAAAAGAGCTCACCAACTACCATTTGCCTAAGATATCGCTTTTGTAGACAGTACTTCATCCTGTGACATTCAAAGTCATTCGGTAACATTCATGTTAGCAATATGTGGTATTGGAGCAGTTCCATTAGGTATATTCATAACAAAAGGACAGTCGACAGTTGACTATAAAGCAGCTTTCACGCTTTTAAAGCAGTCAATGCCTAATGGTTTTAATGCCCAAGGGTTTCCCAAACAATTTGTTATTGATGATTGTGAAGCAGAGAAGCAAGCACTCCAATCAATTTGGCCTGAATCTAAAATTAATTTATGCAGATTTCACATACTACAATCTGTCTGGAGATGGTTGTGGGATACGAATCATGATGTACTTAAAGGTGATAGAAAGATTTTGTTCAGACTATTTCATAGAATTTTAGTAGCTAAAAACTTGCATAGTGCTGAAGAAGCTTATATGACTGCAATCGGTCAAATGTCTACTGAATACAATTGTATTAATAATACTGTAATACCTTTAAAATATGAAAAATGGATTAAATATGTTAATAATTATTGGAAAAGAAAAGAGTTATGGTGTTTAGTATTTCGGGATGCTTCTGTTCATGGGCACCAAACTAATAATTTTTCAGAAGTGAATGTTCGTATCTTTAAGGACATAGTTCTCTCTAGGAACAAAGCATATAATGCAGTTGCATTAGTAGATTTTATTTGTACTTTATTAGAAGAATATTATCTAAGACGTTTACGGACTTTTGACAATGGGAGAAATGATACAGCTCGACATATATTTGAAGATCAGCTTAAACGAGCAGTAAGTATTAAAAAAGACTCTATAAAAAAATTATCTGAAAATATATATAGAGTGCAGTCTGAAACAGAAAATACTTTTTACGAAGTTGATATAACAAATGGATTTTTCTCTTGCCCTAAAGGAAAACTAGGAGCATTTTGCAAACACCAAGCTGCAATTTATCATCATCATGAAATGGATATGCCAAGTTTACCAGCTATTAATACAGAATCACGTTATTTGTAAGCAAAATTAGCCTTCGGTGAACATGTGCGCGAAAAATCATTTTACATGCCACTTACTGCAGAATCAAACATCATAAATAATAATACAGCATTGAAAGAAGGGGTAGATTTAAATTATCAAAATAATGATGATCCTCATTGCTCAAGCTCAATAAGTATAACAAATAACTGTAACAATGATCATGAAAATAACTCTGCTGATGATTATGCTCAACAAATTCAAAATTTATTCACAAAAAATTTAGCAAAATATAATGATACAGTTTCAACTCCAGTACTCAACAAATGTTTGGATAGATTACAAAAAGTTAAATCTGTTGCAATGTGGGAATCATTTTTAAGTACTGCTGGAAGTAAAATACCTCTGCGACATCGATCTCGTGCAACAATTCATGTTCAGCCAACAACTTTGGCACGAAGGAGATCTGGAGTTACAAGAGGTAGTAAAAGACTGCCTGTAGGACGCCCAAAAAATAACGATCCTCCCAAAAAAAAAAGAAGAAGAAATTTAGCAGAAAATGTAGAGAAAAATATTCCAAATGCTAAATCACATGGAATAGGTTATTAAGTTTTAATTGTAATTATTAAAATATTAGTATACCTATGTTATTGACTATTATTAAAAATTGATATAAACAGTTTTATTATTTATTTTATTTATTGTAATTCATTTTGTTATTATAACTAACTAATTATTAGTTGATCTATGGGTCCAGCAGCAAAAAATGTGTTTTTTTCAAATTATGTATTTTTACAATTACCTACCTACTCATAAAATAGATAAAAAAAAAAAATCATATAATCTAAATGATAAAAAATATAATACAATAATAGTTGTTACCTACCTGTTTAGTAAAAAATAATTTATTCAAGTATCATTTAATTTAAGAGTTGCCTATAAATTATAGCCCATATAATTATCATAGGTACATGTAATTGGTAGGTAGGTATCTAATTAACTACCATACCACTAGGAGTTATGAAGTAACATAAAATGAGAATAATATCACTATTCAGATCTTACCTTATAGAATAAATCAATAAAATAGAATATACAAGTACATTTGTATTATCTAAAAAATTAATTACAATAATATTAGTTATGACTTATGATCAAATAAATAAAGTATTATTATTTTAGGTAAGACAAGTATAGGTACAATGTACATATAGGCATGCAATTAAATACCTACTTATTATGCGTTGTAAGTAAAAATTTAGTACACAGTACACTTATACTCTGAACTAAGGAAGGCATTTTATGAATGTAAAAATAGGATGTAGGTAGGTACCTAAATATATTTTATCATGCATACATTTCTATAGGTATGTATATTTCCTTATACCTATTATCATTGATAGTATTTTATTTTATTATCAATGCTATTATATTTACATTCAAATGATTTTAACAAAGCTGGACAAGTTAGTCACTTTTGTTAACTAGTTATAGTTAAGTTACTTTAGTATAAAGGGTAACAAAGTTAGAAAATAAGTTAGTTTCTGAAATTTACCAAATTCGACCGATTAAACTGTGATTAACTTTAATCACAGACTGTACAACTGGCCCTTAGTTAGAAGTTAGTTTGGAGAAAATATTAACTTAAGTTAGAGTACAAGTAAGTTTTTTTAGGTTAAAATTTAAATTTAAAAAACTGTTTTTTTCAAATGTAATGTACCTATTACATAAATTAATTAGGTATGAAGTAGGTAGGTAAGTAACTTACTTGAATTATTGGTGATAAATTAAAAATTAAATTGAACAACTGGCAACTGATAGTTTGATCAAATGTTTCAAACAAGTAGGTAATAACCTTAATTCCTTGGAATGCCAGACATTATAATGTAGAAAGTTTAACAATATAAGAAATTGAAAAGTTCAATAAATGAACAAAAAAAACTAGTTACTATTTAATAACTAGTTATTATTTTTAACGAGTTAGATTAGATTATTTTACACATTAAATTCAACTAGTTAAGTTACAAAGTTAATATGAATTTAAGCTAACTAGTTAAGTTAAATAGTTAACTAAAAAGTAGCATTCTAAAAAGTTAGTGTCCAGCTTTGAATTTTAATGTTTGTTATTGTACTTACAACTTTCTTATAGCTGGTAATATATTATAATTTGTCTTATCATATTATAGTCTGAATCTTAAAAAAATAAAAAAATTTTAAAATGTCTTGCTCAGGTTGATATTTGGAAATATTTAGGAATTTTTATCACCAATAAATATTTAAATATTAAACCATTTGACGTTAAGCTAAAGTTTTAATAATATTCTACAATGGATTCTTCCACATGGAGTAATACACCATAAAACACTATATAATTAATTAAAAGCAATAATCAATAGGTGGTATATACTATTAATTGCACTGTCTATTGTAATTTGTAATGATTATCATATTATCATATTATAGTCTGTAATAATTTGGCGGGAATTTAAAATCGACCAATGAGAATGCGTATTTGAACACTGGTGCCGAAACAGACCCCAGAATGCTTATATGCACCCCGGCCGACCTCCCCGTCAAATAATTTAGGAGAGTGAACAGTGTCGTTATTATTAAATACGGGCATGAATATATGCGTCGAAAAGTTCGATTTTTTGATTCAATAAACTGCGTTATTATATTACATTTTCAGTGGCTTCCTTATACCGGTATTTATATACCTATATTATTATTCATCGATAGGTAGGTTTTTATATGATTTTTAACTAAATAAATAGACAATTGATAAAAAACAATATTTAATTGACATAGATAGCAATAATTGCTTTTATTATCTACATTTATTGAACAAAAAAAATATTAAATGTATAATAAACTACGAAGTAGGTACCTAGGTACTTGATGTATTACTGCAGTGTTTAGGTGAGTCTGATTTGGTTAGGTTGAAATACTGCTAGGTATAGATTATAAATACAATATTAATAAATTAGTAGATCTAATAAAACTAACTAAATTCTATTTGATATTAATTATATACCTATGTAGGTTTTATCGTTTGATGGGCTCGATATATTATATACAAAGTAGTGGGTACTTAATATATTACAGTTTTTAGGTGAGTCAAATTATCTATATGATTAAACAAAATATAACTTAATGTATTTAATTAAATTCTGGCAGTTAAATTGTATAATGATATGACTATACTATACTATACTAATTAAGCTATTTAATAAATAATGACAATTAATAATTAATTAATACTCGATTTTATTATCTACACATTTACTAAGTATAACCAAGTACAATATAACTAACCTACATGTGTACTTTGTAGTACCTACTTAATATATTACAGTTTTTAGGTGACTTTATTGGTTGATTGATTCAAATTTGGTAATTATGTAGGATACAAGGTGTATTGATAAGGTGTCGTCACTTGTTTGAAAACTTAATTGAACATTTTACTACAGATAGTCATCACCACCGGGAGCGCTGTATGTCTTAAAGAGGCCTATAAACGAACACTTTTGTACACCAAAGCCATAGAAAATTCAAAATATATTATGATTTAAGGAATCATTTCATTCTATGTTCTAAATTATTTGTATGCATGTATTTAAATACTTTACTTTTATCAAATACAATTATTAATATTATTAAATATTGTCATTTTTTAATTTCCTATTCCAAAAAAATATATGAAAAATGTATTAGTTACCTATTAGTAATTCACTAAATTATCATATATAATGATTTCAGAGTGTTAAATTAACAAATAATAATTCATAATTACGTGGGCGTAAATAGGGAGGGACAGAGGGGGTTTAGACCACTCTGAGCCATCTTAATCCCTCTCTAAGATATGTACATAATTTTAACACTACATATTTTAATATATAGCCAATCTTTATTATAATAAAATATAAATTATACATTTATACCTATAATTTATGAGCTAAAAAATGTGCTATAAACAATTATTAAATATAGGTACTCTACAGGTACTCTCAAGGAATCTACTGGAATAATTTTAGTAATTTAGTATTTATAATATTACCTATGCCCTATGGGCTATCCAAAATTCAAATGCTTACATTTTTAATACCTTTTTATAAGCATTAATTACTTGGTTGTACCTATATAATATTATTATATTATATTAACAGATATCCTGGGGATAGCAACATATATGCTAAATGCTTGATAGATTTATATGGTCATCATATATCAGTGCTTCTCAAGCTGGAGGCATGACTATAATATATTGGCATGGCTATTTTATTTAAACTATTTTCTTTAGGTTTTAAGAAAAAAGTATAAGTACTAAAAACATTAATTTACTATAATTTTAATAATTTATCTGTGTGAAATAGTACATGTAATTTTTGTATATAATTAAGAAAAAATAATTAATGATTTGATTAAGGGGCCTTGACAGTTTTATGCTCTTGAAAGTTGAACTCATTCTTTCTTCCTTGAAAATCTTTAATTTAAAGATTTCAACTAGGTTGCAAATATCCCAAGAAGTGACTAAATTATACATCATAATATTTTATAATTGATGTTTACTTGATAAAAAATATTTAAAACAAAAATGCAAATGTAAATTATAATTACATTCTCCAATTATTATAAATTATAATATATATTAGACGCTAACTCCAAAAAAAATAACATTTTAATTCATAGGTTAAAGGCATTTTGCATTTAACAGTATGAAAAAATCGGCCTTCATAGGACAGGTATCTATAGTACTGTGGTAAAATTTTCAATCAAAAGTGTGTATGTATAGGGGTCCAGAGTGACGAACCTTATCAATACACCTTGGTAGGATACAAATACTGCTGCAGATTTAACATAATATGATATTACTCAAAATATAGGTAGGCCTATCATGTATATTTTATATGAGTTTCAAATCTATATCGATTTTACGCAACGTTTACTAACTAAAGGATTGAACGTCATCTTGTACACCTCCTCGAAATTTACGATACGGTACCTAGTACAGTACCTATAAATATAATACTTATTTATATGAGTTTCAAATCTATATCGATTTTACGCAACGTTTACTAACTAAAAGATTGAACGTCATCTTGTACACATCCTCGAAATTTACGATACGGTAGTACAGTACCTTTAAATATAATACTTATTTATATGGGTTAAAAGATAGACGTATTGATAAACAGCGCTGCTACTTACTTATTATTATTATAATTAAACCATTAAATCATTTACAAGAAATTTGAGTTAAAATTTCTGTTGAAGTAATGTAAATTACTTGTACTTATGACAGTACACTGAATTTTTAAGAAAATTTTATACGAAATCACTTATAAATATTAAAACTAAAGTAGACTATTGAAAAATACGATAAATACAAATGTTATATTTCGACTCATTCTCAATCAGTCAATTTTGAAGATAGAGCACAACTTTAAAGGTCAAAGTTGCTTGAATAAATGCACACAATTCAAATCTGAACTCAAAAATGGGAGTTGCCATTTAACAAAAAATTATTTTGTTGCGCACGCGCAGAATTTAAAAAAAAAAAAATTAAGATTTATCAAAAATAAATGTAATTTTATGTCCTTTACGCATTA